GAACAGAGGTTTCTATTTTTTTATTGCCAAATATGCTCTCATATATTTATATCTAGGTTTGAAAATTGAAACCAACAAAAAATAGGCAAGTATATCATGTCATGTAATATGCTCCCCTTTATTTTTCGTGGAATCTGATGTGGTCAAGATTTCAATAGGTTCCTTCGATGCCAGAGCTTGGTATTTATCAAAGGCGATAGCAAGTTTGTTTCATTTTCTCAAGTTTATCTCTTGCTCTCTGAAACAAAATGGTAAGCTTCATGACGTACGTCATTTTGTGTCCCTAATACATGTTCATATTTTTTAATATATTTGTTTAACCTTCTTACTTGTCAGTATAAGCGTAGAGGTCACATGTGTGGTGCGGTATCACAAAGAAGACCAGCCCCTTCCCCTTCCTCGTCCTCTTCCCCTGCCCTTTCATCTAACCCTCGACCACTACATGTTGATGGACAACATGGACACATTGGCCCATCCTTCGAACCTCAAGAACATATTAGGGGATAACTTGGAGAAATGCGAATTGAATTTACTTCATTTCCATCTCTTTCAGTTCCATCTCCTTCAATTGCATCTCCTTCGGTTCCACCTTCTTCTTCAGTGCAACACTCGAATGATGAAGAAGATAGCCGATTCATGATATGACCATGTGGAGATTCGTAAGTACTTCATTTTTTAACGTATATGTAATTATGGATGTCAACTGAATTGTCCATACTGCAAATTATCTCTATGCTTCATTGTTTCATTGTCCATATTATTATAACCTGTTTGCAGATTCACGGATGCTACCTATGTTGTGAGGGAACTTAATAAAATAATCAATAACTGTTGGATGGGGCAATATATTAGTTTCAGTAGCGCTCCAAAAGAAGTAAAGAATTTGTGGTGGAATGAGTTCAAGGTAAGTTTCGTCATTCTATTTTCTCACAACCTAAGTTCGGTGTAGCATACTGATGGTCAAGAATGAATTTTGTCACGAATTATCTGGTGCATAGTAATGGATATGTGACCTGTGACCCTCATAATAACTTTCGGTTGTTTTTCTATTGATTGTAGCGGAAGTTTAGGTGGGATGAAATGGAAGAGAATGAAGTTAGAATAATATTTAAAAAGAAAGCTGGTGATCACCTGTAACAGCCCGAATTTCGATGTAATTCCGGGATCAATAAAATCGACATTATTTCGCATTTCATTTTAGTGAGTCTCGCCCAGAGTTGATCACTCTCGGGATACTAACCAATAGGGTATGGCTAACTGGGAAAATGGTACATGGATCAGGGACCCGATCATGAATCGGGCACCGATCACGAGAAATGATGAGGGAATATTTTGGGCCAACGTGGGCCGATCTTAGGAAAAATGACGGATTTGGTTTGGCCAAGGCCAACGATGTACAATCGGATCGCAGGTGATTCTGCATGACCGAAAGTGCACGTGGCCAATCAGTCCTGAATCTGAACCGAACGATCGCGACCTCTGGAACTAGCGATAATTTCTCTCTTTCTCTCAGCGATCGAGATCGTCTCGACTCGGATAACCCTAGGTCGATACGCGTAACCTCTAATCAGCTGCCTGTTAGTGAGAGATCCTGAAATTGGAAATTTAGCGGGTTTTGGTCACGAGATTGGACCCGGATTTCGGTACCGATTTTCGAGGACTTGTACAGCTATTTTCACGATTCGGACGTCATATTATACTGGCCACACACGTTTGGAGTTAGTCCGGTTGAAAAATGGAATTTCGATCCGAAAGTCAAAAATGACGATTTTGCCCCTCGGGACACCGACATTAATTCTGAGGCCGTCTGAGGTTATTTTTCGCGGCCGATGTCATTTTAGGGTGGCCACGGGCATTTAGAGTTGTTTCGGTCAAAAATTGGAATTTTGGCTCGGAAGTGAAAAATAATATTATTTTATTTCCTAGGACTTTGCAGTCGATTTTCGAGGGCTTAAGAGGTTATTTTCGTGATTCCGACGCCATATTATGTTGGCCACACTTATTTGGAGTTGGGGTAGCCAAAAATTGGAATTTCACCCCGGGACCGGAAAAATGACCATTTTGCCCATGGCCTATTTTTTGTCCGAATTTTTGGGAAAATATTTGGGATTATTAAAGTTAATTATCAGCTGAATTATTGGCCCTATTTACCACTTTGCCCCTCAATTATTTGGATAAGATCAATCGAGACCGTTGGATTAAGGGCATTTTGGTCAAAACCGTTGGATCGGCGACACGTGGCACCCTTGGCCCACCATATTTGACCGGTTTGACCTTCTCTCTCTCTCCTCCCCCTCATTCGGCCGACCCTTCTCTCTCTCCCCCTCCCACGATCGTTTCTCTCTTCCTCTAGGTCCGTTCCGTTCTTGGCCAAGGACGCCGGAGCAAGCCGCCGTCGCTGGAGCCGCCGTTCGCCGGAGTTACTGGTGCCGGCGCCGCCTAGCCTCACCACCATCCCGTCCCACCTTTTTCTCTCTCTCGTTCTCTCTCTCCCTTCCGGCCAAGGAACGCCGGAGCCGTCCGCCGCCGAGAAGCCGATCTGACCGCCGGAGCGTCGCCGTTGCCGTCGCCGCCGGCACCGCCACCCTCACCGACTCACTTTTCCACCTCCGCCTCGCCTTCGCCGTCCTCGCCGCCGTACGGTTCGGCCAAAGGACCGCCGTCCGTACCACTGGCCGCCGTGAGCCGCCATCGTCGCCACCGTCGGAACGCCGCCGCCGGTTCCACCGTTCACCGGTGATCGGCCGCCGTTCCTCGTCGTCGTGATTGAGAAATAGTGAGTGTACCTCCTAAACCCGGATTAGGACTGATAGTGCGTTTTCTGGACTGGTTTGGGTATTATTAGTGTATACTGGAAGGAATTGGTGAATCGATTGGTGGAGGAAAATTACTGGATTAATATCTGTGGATTAATGTGAGATTAATTAGTGGACTATTGGACTAGCCGGGACTGATTGAGGATTAGGTGACTGGACTGCCGAGTATGCCCGAGTTGGCTGAATTATGATTATTGTGCCCAATTTTGGGAAATTAAATAATGCCATGTCGTGTGCTCGGGTGGCCGACTCATGTGGAGTGTGATTGGCCAATTGACGGCTTGATCAAATTATTGAACTATACATTGTGCATTGGGCAGCACGGTATTAATTGGCCAAGTGGGCACATTGTTGTGGCATAAATTTGACTGGTTGTCTACAGTATGTTTGATGCTCATGGTGCATTATGCTGCATTTCATGGCCACGCATTGTGTATGCCGAGAATGAGGCATGTGATGAAATTGTGCTAGAATGCGTGCCTGTCATGAGTATGTGATTACCTAATTATACCCTGATGCGTTTTACGCGGGGTTCAGATAAAAATTGGCAGTGTGCCGTGTGATCACATATTGGCCTTCGGGTCGTGCCGTCCTCATGCACTTTGTAGCGGGACGATGCCCGTATATCAGGAAGACGATCATCCTCATGCACTTTGTAGCGGGCTCGGTTCGTAAGGAGATCGGTGTTGCGCCTCATGCACTTTGTAGCAGGCTAGAGACACTGGGCCGGGGGCGTTTTTACGCTGGCCATGGAGTGTTGTGAGCCTTCGGGCCGTGGTTTTTGGATCAGTTATTAATTAAAAATGGGCTGTATGCCAGGGTGCAGTGTGAGCCAATATGAACATGGCATGATAATGACATTTACATGCATAAGAGTGCATGGGCTAATGTGCGAGTGTGCGAGACTCGGTGTTTGGCATGCGAATCAAACATTAATGAGTATGATCATGCGTATGGCGTACGTGTGACCGGTGTGTTCGCGTATGTGTCGTGAGTATTTTTATGAAATGCCTAACCTGCAGGGTCAATTGTATGATCGATCTGGGCCGAGGGCCTAGGTCATTGTTTGTATATTGCGTTGTTTTGCTGGTCAGGAGAATGCATGTTAGCCTAGCCTAGGTCTAGGGGTTATACTCGCTGAAATTCGTCTCACGGTTGTAATAACCAAACTTTTCAGACCCCCAGCCCTGAGCATGCCGAGGCAGCCACCTCTTTTTGGGATCCCCACTCAGATCCATTCGACTACGATAGTATACCCAACTGGGAATGGGGAATCGTATGTAAGATATCACTCTGTAGTATTCGTGAATGTGGGTGAGTATTTTTATCAGACGCAAGAGTATGTAGCCTGGTGCCTGAAGGACGCAGACGGAAACATCGGGCGACCCCTCCGGACATTTGACGTTCCGGTAGATATAGGCGGGGTGATGATGCCCCAGATGGCCGATGGCGAGATCGTGGACCCTCCAGCAGCAGACGAGCCCGTAGCCATGGAAGAAGAGCCAGGAGTATGGTATGAGGACCCAGAGGCTAATGATGAGGAGGTTGAGCCGGAGCAGGTGCCGGAACCGATGGATCAGGACCCGGATGAGGACGGAGAAGTTGCTGAGCTTGGATCGGACTAGGAGATGGTGTCTGATGAGGAGTTAGGTTTATATTTGGACCCGGAGCTTGAGATAGACTTAGAGGATGAGTGGGCTGCAACGCAGGAGATGGAGTCCGAGGAGTCTGAGCCTCCTGAGAGCTCTTCAGGGGAGTCGTCGGGTGATTCTTCGGAGTCTTCAGACTCTGATTGGGAGCCCTAGAGCAGGCCAGAGTTAGTAGGGTGGACTGTCCCTTTTTTACTGTAGTTCTCCTTATAGGTTTAGTCAAACTCACCCTAGCCACCTACCTTTTTGACCTAGTGGCTGTTAACTGCTTGTATCGTTTGTTTTTGTTGTATAAATGGATATTGTATAAAAGTTTTCTATAGTAATATAAAATGTACATATTATCAGAATCGATGGATTGTAGTCGGGCTATCCGTTGTCTCTTATAGCTATTGTCAGGGTTGTTTATTTAATTGCTTTCGCTTGTGCTTGTTTTCTGTTGGGCGTGGGTCGGCGACGCTTCCTAGGACGTCGCACCATAATCGACCAAGGTAGGGATGTTAGCGCTTCGTAAGGTACGGGGCGTGACATCACATGTGAAATGTGATGAATAAAGCAAAGAGAAATCAACGAAAGCCGGATTTTATTACAGCTGACAATTGGACGGAAATTACGAGAACTTGGGAAACTGAGAAGCATAAGCAAATAAGTAAACAGAATAAGAAGAATCGAGCTTCTAGTTCTAGTGAAGGGTCTGCGTCTGCCACATATGCTGGGGGCTCTATCAACATCGGGGAGCATAGAAAAAGAATGGTAAGTTTGTTTAAACATGTTGTAAGTTAATTTAATTCAATGATTACTCATTTATGTTTATATTTTGTAGGCAGATGAATTGAGGACGAAACCGACATTTACAGCTACATTTGAATGCACATTTCAGAAAAAAGACAAGACGTGGACTGGCGATCGAGCAAAAGCTATTAAGGTATGTAAAGTTATACTTTGGACTTTATGGAAACTATAATGAAAACCATGAATGCTTTTAATACTTATGGTAGTTATATATATGAATTTATTTTATTTTCATCTATACTGTTAATGTAGGAAAAATATGATGAACTTTTAATGAGCACTGCTAGTGGTGGTGATGGTGGTGATGGTGTTGCTGCGTCTGAGCCATCGGTTAACAGTATGGCATTATGGTTGGAGGCATCGGGTGGGATGAAAGGAGGAAAAATATTTGGGATGAGATCCTTGTCAAGGGCATACACAACGAAGGCTGATGCAACTTCATCCTCCAATGCGGCTGTTTCAAGGAGGACACGACATGAGGAGCAAATGACCCAAGAATTGAGCCAACTAAAAGATTTACTTGTACAAAAGGACGAAGAACTCAAACATTTACTTGTACAGAAGGACGAAGAAATAAGAGGAATGAAACAACAAATGCAATTGATCTTGCGACACCTCAACCTCGATCACGATGAGGTTCCTCCTGTACCTCACATTAATCCAATAGGTGATGGGCACAATGATGAGCCACACAATGATAATGAGATTGCTGCTGATGATGATGATGATTTTATTAGCAGTCCTTGCTAGTTCATTCTCTTCGGGGGTAAGCTTATAAGGACTAACTTACAACAATTACTTTCTGTGCACAACTTTCTTACATGTCTGTACAATGCTTGCGAAAAATTAAAAATTTGACAAAAGTCACTGTTCTTTGTTTAGAAAATCATGATAGTTCAACATTGTAGAAATACATGCCTTATTTGATTTCAAATTTTGATCATATTTGCAGATGCGAGAAGCTAAGTTTCACATGTTGTACAATTGAACTGTGATTCCTTTTATTGCATGTTCTCAAGTGGACATGTTTCGAGTAAAGATGCTAATTTTTAAATGTTTTGAAGAGAATGATCTATCTTTTACATTTCTGAGTGGCCACACAAATTGAGAAATTTGACTTTTGATAGGTCATTCTTGTGGATGAGTTATATCCATTGTCAGTAACATAATATCTCAAAGTAAAACATGAGAAGCTTTACATGCTGAATAATCAATTCTTAAATTTGATACACTATCATTTGAAGTCAGTATAGATTAGGGGAGCTTAGATAGAAGGAAAGGTATTATGCAGAGAAATTTCATGCGTCTACTTCGGATGAGATAGAGAGTTAAAGAAGGAAACGGTACGTGTTTTTTTGTATCTTGAAGCTTTCAGTTTACTTTATTTAATATCAATATTATTTCTCGTAATTATTTTGATTTTATATTGTCTTGGTAACTTAGAATTTATATGTTTTGAAGTGTTCAGTACTTACTTCGCTTGATTTTAATTTCTGTAACATGGATTTAGTTAGTTTAGATGGTAGGGCAGTCTTAAGACTCTCAATGTCTTAATAGCATTCCTTTACATTTAGATGTTTCCTTCAATTGCAAATCTGTGTGGATGTGGAAATTCTGTATGAAGTGTTCCTTTTTATGGGGACTTACAACATAGAAGTTCTGGATTTTAATTTTTGCATTGCTGGGACTTACAGCTATTGGTGATTTGCAGGGACTTACAGTTATTGGTCTGGCCACGCAGAATGCGGATGCCACCTTACTGGCTGAACATCTCCAAGATTGGGATCTGTGGGAAACCAGCCCCACAAGATTTCTCTGCAGATTACGAACACTGGAAACAAGTAGTGAGTGGCATGTACATGTCGGGGCTTGGAATTAGTTGGTCCGGCGTGAGAAATGTTATGGACATGAGAGCTGTCTATAGCGGGTATGATATGCTTATATTTTAATCTTCTTTAAGGTAAAATTCAGATGAATGTCTCATGAGAGCTTTCGCTCGCTTCCTTGCAGATTTGCTGCTGCACTGAAGGATCTCCAGATGTGGGTGCTGAACGTGGTAAATGTTGACTCACCAGATACGCTTCCCACGATTGGTGCGAGTCCTTCAGCACGTACCCTAGAACCTATGATCCGCTGCATGCAGATCATCTCTTCTCCAAGCTTAGGAAGAGGTATGCAACTGGATCCCATAGTCCCCACACTCTGTCTCTCTCTCTCTCTCGTGGTCTTTCTTAAACTCTACTTGAATTTGTCTGTTGAAGGTGCAAGCTTGCACCGGTAATGGTAGAAGTTGATCAAATTGTGAGACCTGGAGGTAAAATAATAGTCCAGATGAGTCCAATGCAATAGGGGAGATCGAGAACTTACTTAAATCACTGCATTGGGAGGTCCACTTAACATTCTCCAAAGACCAAGAAGGGATTCTCAGTGCACAGAAAGGTGATTGGCGGCCAAGCATATACACAGCTACTTCCTAATTATTAAGGCAAGTGCCCTTGATTTTGTGTTGCAAGCAGCAATAGGTACACTTTTTTAGCTATTGATGAATATCTTTATTTATGTATCCACATTTCATCAGGTGTCGACAAAAGTGATCGTTCCTGGTGTCCTGCCGAGTACCAAAGCTGCCCACATTTTATGGTTGTCCCGCATCCTTTCAATGTATTAAATGATGTTCATTAATGCTTAGCTACCTCTATGAATTACAAGATTGGATATCCAATAGCATCATGTGAGACTGTACAACTCTGCATATATCATTATCTTTTGCAGACTACCAGCTACCTCTATGGTTGTTTTGTGTCCTTTGATTGTTTTGAATGTATTACATGATGTTCATTAATGCGTACCTACCTCTATGGTCATACAAGATTTGATTGCCCAAATGGTGTTCTATGCTTGAAACATGTATGAACATCATTGTGGGGCGTAAATTCGGAAAATGTGCTGATTCGGAGAGCTGTTTATGTTGGAACTCCACTATTGTAGATTCTTTTTGGAGCTACAGTACCTCCATCATCACGCAACAATTGATTCAAGCATAGGCCTTAATCAATGTTAAATATATATTTTAGCAATTAATTTTGCTGCTAATTAGATTTAAAATCGAAATCGTCCCTAAACAATATTCGTCGCAAACTTACTGACAAAAAAAAAAATTTCCTGGCAAATTAGCGACGAATTTTGCCACGAATAGATTTCGTTACAATTTAGCTATAAAAAAAAGTGTCTCGGCAAATTAGCGACAACTTTTGCCACGAATACAGTTTCGTGATAAATTAGCGACGAGATTTGCCACGAATAAATAGCGACGAATTTTGCCACGAATACAGTTCGTGGCAAAATTAGCGACGAATTTTGCCACGAATAATTAGCGACGAATTTTGCCACGAATACAGTTCGTGGCAAATAGCGACGAATTTTGCCACGAATAATTAGCGACGATTTTTGCCACGAATAAATTTCATGGCAAATTAGCGACGATTTTTGCCACGAATAATTAGTCACGATTTTTGCCACGAATTCTCTTTTCGTGGCTAATTTCGCGATGAAAATTGCCACGAATAATTTGCCACGAATTCTTTTTCGTCGCAATTTAGCGACGAAAATTGAAATTTTTTCGTCGCAAAAATTTGTGACGCCGAATTAGCCACGAATTTTTTTTCGTGGCTAATTTCGTCTCAAATTCTTTTAGCCACGAATTTTTCTAAATTTTTCGTGGCAAAATTCGTGGCTAAAACCTTATTTTTTTGTAGTGCATGTCACCGAATATCACTGAATTCTCATGTTTTTGTAATTGATGTGCTTTGGTTGTGTAACGAGTAAATCGCAATGACCATGTTGACAGGACGAGTTCCAAGATGGCCGAGATGGGTCTTATGTGGAATGCTACAAGCAAGAGTTCCAAGGCTCTTCAGATGAAGTGGCAAGAGACCATGTGAAGAAGATGATCTCAGAAGCATGGAAGAGACTCAACAAGGCATGCCTCTATCCTCACCCATTCACCAAGTCCTTCACCAAGGCCGCCCTCAACACGGCCAGGATGGTCCCGCTGATGTACAATTATGATGACAACCATTCACTCCCTCTCCTTGAGCACCACATGAAGTCATTGCTCTTTAGAGGTCCTTCCTGTTAAGGGTTTTGCATCTTTATAATTAACTTAGACACTGTATAGCTATGTTTGGCCGTCCAGATTTTTAACTAATATAAAACTAGAGAGGATACGATATGAAATACAAGGACTTTGATATATCATGATCACTGTTTGATAATTGCAGTTATAAAGTTAGATATTTTCATATCCTATCATATCCATTATTTGGTAAGAATTACATATCAATGTAAATGACAAATATGCCTTATATGTTGCCCCTTAAAAAAATACCATTCTAATCATCATAACCTCCCAAATCCAATCAAGAGAAAGGAAAAAAAAACTCCCAAATCCGACTACTTTAGAAAATTTTCGTATTAATGAAAACAACATTGATCAAGATACAACGAAAGCCTTCAATTAAAGAAAAATATACAGGAAACTTGATGTTCTTTTTTCATTAAATTTTGTTCATAACATCAGCAAATTGAGCAAGGGGAACCATACTGTGAAACCAAAGCTTTAATACAAAAAGAGGAGCGTGTGCTAGCAAAATTAACAGTAGCCAGTCTTAACAACTAACTAGAAAGCAAGAAATCAGCATGCACCGGGAAAGCTCTCTTTTCCTTTCTTCTTCAGTACCGCCCATCTCTTCTTTGACTTATCCAAGTTGGACTTCTTCAAGCAAAGCACGGGGAAAGATGGCGTGTATGAAGCTTCCCCTATAAAACAGGAAGAGGAAGTGTGATGACAGTGAGAGAGAACTCTGAGACTACCCAGAAGAGATGGAAGAAAATGTGTAGAGTGTTCTTTTCCAAAATACTCAGAGTGGTTTTTATGTTGTAATTATACCCAAGTGATTTAGCCAATTAAATTTGTGTAATTAGAATTTGTAATTCCTTTGTGAGATTCAGAGTTATTTCATTAGGAATTGTGAGATGCTAAACAATGTGTGAGTTATTATGTGTAATTGAAAGCTGGGCAATATTAAGTTTGTTTGAATACTTGAGTGTGTCGTAATCTCCAATGTATCGTTTATTCTATAGTGTAATTTTGTGGTGTTCTCTCTATGGACATAGGTCACACTGACTGAACCACGTAAATCCGGCGTCCAATATTATTTCCTTCATTTTGTCTATTTCATTATTATTCGATTCGCTTGTCCTTTATTCATAACAATTGATATTAGAGCTAGATTGGGAAAACCTAAAGTGAATCGGTAATGATGGAAGAAAAAATGTGAGAATAGACCGATTTGACAGGAAGGATTTTGATTTTTGAAAGATGCAGATTGATGAGTACATATACCAGATGATTCTGCACTTACCTCTATTTGGGGGGAAAATATATTCGGCAAGAGAATGTGATTGGGAATTACTAAATAGACAAGCAATGGGTGTTATTAGGCTAGTGTTGTCTCATAACATCGCGTTTAACACCACGAAAGAGAAGGCCACTACGAGACTGAAGAATGCCGAGTCAAACATGTACGAGAAACCCTGTGCAATCAACAACATCTATTTGATGTGAGTTCTGTTTCATTTAAGATGGGCGAAAGACCCAACCACAAAAAAAAAAGATGGGCGAAAGTACATCAATTGCAAAACATATCAACAAATTCAATATGATCGTTAATCAATTGAGTTTGGTTAAGATTAATTTTGAAGATGAGGTGCGTGCGTTGATTTCATTATCTTCATTGTCTGATAGTTGGAATACTATTGTGTTGTTATTAATCCCTCTGAGTCAATAAATTTGACGTTTGATGAGCTTCGCAATTTGATTGTGAGTGAGTACTTCCATAAGAAAGAACATGGTAAACCTATGACTGCTGCTTTAGTAGGTGAAAGTAGTAGAAAACTAGTACTCGTGTTAGCATGGATAATATAAACTTGAGCAGACGTAATCAGTCTAGGACTAGTGGGGTTGTCTATTGGAATTATGGTAAGGGTGGACATCTTAGAAGATATTGTCCTGAGCTGAAAAATGAAAAAAGTAAGGGAAATACAGTCGAGTCTACAGATAATATTGTAACTTTTGCTAAAAGTAATTTGGATAATGTCGATTATATCTTGTGTCTCATTGATGATTTGTTGTTTGATGAATGGATTATGAACTCTAGTTTTTCGTTTCACATCACACCACATAGGAACTGGTTTATCAATTATTAGTGTACGAGTAGGGGTAAACTACAATTTGGGAACAACGATACGGATCCAAACAAGTCGATCCTGGAACTGAAATGGCCGTCTGGTTCTGGGTTCGACCCAGACCCAAAACCGGCTTGCTTTAATTTTTTTTTTTCGTGGTTTCAGGCAAATAACTACACGGAACAAGGAGTTACAAAAGACTCAGTAGCTTCTTTCCACGGTTCCCGTTTTGCAGATCTAACATCAAAGCAATACTCAACCTTCTGAAAACGCCAAGCATTTATTAAAACTGAAACAGACTAAAACACCCAATCCTAAACATCTAAGAGAGGAAGAAAGACACAGCATCTTCATTTCCTTTGAATTTTCAAAGCAGACTGGAAAGAGCAAGAAACCATCTCACACCACACCCAGCAAAACCACCCCAAAAGGACGAACTGACATAAATGAAAAGAAGCAGACAAAAAAAGGCTAAAATAACCAAAAAACTGGAGAATCTAAGATGACCCAACAGAGCTAGTGAGGGAGGCTATACGAGATAATTTGAAACCTCGAACTACTCCAAACTCATACAGCTTTCCTTTATTGGAGAAGATGATGAGAGCAATCTCGGTTGCAAAGCACAGAAAGCTTGAGAGAGAGTGATGTGGCATCGAAGAACTGGTTCTACCCAAGAACCGGCCCTGGTTCCTAGGTAGAGCTAACCGGTTCAAGGCATCGAACCGGTCGCCGTGAACCGGCCTGGATGCTCACCCCTACTAGAGATGTCCTCACATATTTTGACACGTGGGATTTGTCATAGATTGGTTTAAGAAATCTTCAATGTTCAACTACAGCAATTAGTCATAGAATGCCGCCACCATTCCCCCAAACCCCTACCACCTCAGCTATTAGTCTGCCTTAGCCATGCCACTTCCATCTTATGTCGATCTTCATAGCCATTGCTTTCACCATTTATTGATCCCCACAGCTGCTATGTCTACCACCGACAGTCCATGCTTCCACCTTCTTCCACCGATTACCACCTCCAACACTACCTCCACATGGATTGATTGGCTTTTGTCAAAGCACCATTAATAATCAATACTACTAAGTGGTATAACAATAGAGGAGCTGAATGTAGAAACTACATAGAGATGGGTGAGAAGTATTTTCAAAACAACAAGAGAATTTATCTTGTCCACACTCAACTGAAGGAACATAAGAATAAAATGCCATGTTCCATAAATGGGACCAGTCTACTGTCTTCTAAGTAAAAACCATCTATCTGTCAATACCTGCTCCACAAAAAAGATCTTCGAAACATTATGCTGTGCCAATGAAGGTATTATCAGCTCAAGATGCACAATAAATTTGGTCTGCAAAGTATGGGCACTTAAATTAATCCTGTTCTTAATATTCTTTGAACCAATATAGGATAAGTAGAGTCGACAACAGATTAGATCATCAAGTTATGACATAGACCATACTTACGTATGTACATATGTAGATGCAACCTTATTTAGGAGATACGCAATTCAAAATTGTAAAGTATCAGGAAAAATACTTCAAAGACTGCATCGGAACTAAATAGCAACCATTAGGAACAAATGTTGCCAACTAATCAGCAAGGAGACACTATCTTGGACAACCGTCTGTAATCTTGATATCACACCAACAAATAACCTGCTCCTAGTACTATCGAAATACAAAAAGAGATTACACTGGCTAGATACAAAAACATCAAAGTATTGAATACTTCTGTTAAGTAAGAGTACGGTGATGGATCGCCAAACTTCATTTCAAAGCTAAACCATCGAGATGCTAGCGCCAAGAAATTCCTTTTCAGCCTTAAAATTTGCACTGAGATTATCAATTTCAAATAAAATGAGCAAAAACAGAGAGACCTACAACTATGTTTACTTGCTGGCTGGAAGTTGCAAGCTATAACGGCGGTACTTATTTACCTTCCCAAGCTGCACAAGCTTCTCCACTTCCTCAATCCTTGACTCCTTCACCAACTTATCAACAACAAGCTGCAATACTGCCCCATCGACAAGGCAACGAATCTTGAAAATCTCTTCGCACAGCTCGTATGCAAAGTCAACATCTCCCTTCTGGCAAGCAAGCAGAATTAGCGTCCCTAATGTCGTCTTGTCTGGGTCGAAATTACTATTTCCTATTTCACTATACCACAGTTTAGCATCGTTCAGATTACCACACTGGGCAAAACCCTTAATCAGAGCATTGATGCTAAAAATGTCCGGGTTGATTCCCTTCATCCTCATTTCTTTAACCGTCTCAACAGCTTCCTTCATTTTCTTCTGCGAAACCAATCCAAATAACTTTGCATCGTAGCTTCTGACATCAGGAACAATATTCTTCTCCTCCATCCTAGCCCAAATTTTGTCCCCATCAGCAGCTCCGTTACCCAGATAAAGCCCAGAGAGAAGCGTATTGAACGTGACCAAACCTCGCTCCAAGCCCTTCTTCTCCATCTCATCAAGCATCGAATCGCAGTATCCAAAGAACCCATCGCGCAATACCCCTTTATAGCAATATTATACGAAACCGAGTCCGAATCGATGGACAACTTCCCCGGCAACTCGCGGAACAGCTCCTCCATCCTATCAAACTTCTTGGAATTGACACAAGCACCCAAAAGGGCATTCAAAGATAACACCGTGCGCTCACAGCTCAGCTCAGGCATTTCGTCGAACAGCTTCTGGGCATTCTCGAACATGCCCGACCTACCGTACAAGCTGATGAGCCGGACCGCGAACCCTTCCTTGGCGATGTCCCTGTACTTCTTCTGCTCCTCCAGGATCTCCTCGATCATGTCGAAGCGCCTGGCGGAGGCGAGGCGGCGGACGGCGTACTGGTACGTCCCGATCTTGGTGCGGAAATGGTCGAAGGCCGACGACTTCTTGAACTGCGCCACGAGGCGCTTCAGGCTGCGCTCCCTGTAGAGGAAATCGTGGGCCGACTTGAGGGTGGCGTCGGCGACGGCCGCCGGGTCGCCGCCCTGCACGGAGGTGGAGAATGCGCGCCTGAGGAGGCGAAGCGAGGAGGGTGTGGTGGTCATGCTCTGCGTCTTGAGGCTTGTGTGAGACTCTGCAGTGAGGAATGAACGGACGTGACCTTTGAACAACTGCGAAAATGGCGAAGGGTTTTGTGGTGGGGTTTGATCTTTGCGGGCTTGGGCTTGAAGAATCAAAGATAGGATTAATGGCCCGGCGAAAATCTGACTTCGGGCCTAAAATTCCTTATCTAGGTCCGTTCGTGATTGGGAAATATTAAATTACGATATATATAAGGGTGATCGGTGCCAGGAGTGCCCGGCTTCGCAAGCCCGCCGGCCAAAGAGGGAACGGCTTGCCCAAAGTCCGCCCGGTTTATGGTTCGAGCCTGGCGGGCTGTCACTGTTAGGCAAGTACGAGATTTGTAGATCGTCGATTTTAGAGAGGGCATGAGTGCAGTTCTCTAGCTACCTTTACTGCCATTATTATCGGCTTAAAAGTGTGGAATATGATGCAACATAATGGCTCATCAGAACTTGCACATGAATAGAGGATGGCGATATAGCTTCTGGACGCAGGAAACGATGTGCACATGCCATGAAGTTAGCAAGTTTGAATTCATTTCTACTCGTTTGATATAATTAAAAGACGGGTCGTGTGCGGGTATAATCTAGGTACCCGAAATAGATCTGTGTCTTGTGCTAGGACATAGTGAACAAGAACAAAAATGCAAAGAGAAATCACTCTTAACTTATTATTTGATCACATTTAAAGATTATATTTTTAATTTTAGAGTCATATTTCTCAGCATTGTGCATCACCTCCCTTTGTTGTGTATATCCTTAATCGATCCTAATTGATTATAACTAAAATTATAATATCTTGTTAGCTTAGATAGTCATCTTGTAAAGCTTATAAATAGGCTACTCTTCATTATAAAAATATACAAAAATTACACAATTCTCTCTTCCGCGTTACGATGAATTGGTGATGCATTTAAAACTAGTGTACGCTGTGTGATATAAACCTCCTCCTTTCATGATTCAAAACAATGTGCTCAAGATGCTTCATTGCCAGAATATTACTGAATCCCTAATGTCTCCACCACCTAAATTTCTTTCCACGTTAGTGCAGTACAGGAAAGCAATCTCAAGACATAATTCATGGTGGAACAGCTCAAATCAACATTTGCAGACAACAGAAAACCTGATGAAGTGAGAGCATCTTCAAGAGGAGTGGCAATTGGAAAAAGGGTCAATCATAAGTGGGATAAAAGAGTAGATGACAGGAAGTTCCTCCAGCTGATTCATTGCGCCATCAGTTCTCCTAAAGATTGCAATAAGAAAACCAAGAAAAGGTTTTGAAGAAGTCATATCTCTAGACTATATTACTCCAGTTGCATCAAGCTTTAAGCCGTAAGAAAAAGGGCGAAAAAGACCTCACGATGGTCATCTCGATGAATTGACTCACAGAATAAACAGAATAAACATTCTAGATTCATTTCGATCTGCGAAGACAAACCTTAATGTTCGACCTACCATGGATTTGAATCCCCATAGTGCTCATACTCAACCTGTTCATAATACAATTGACCTTCACTTTGCCTTTCATTTGCATGCGCATAGTAGTGCCCAGAACCCACTTGTGAATCATGCTTTCGTTCAGCATAAGGGTTGGTACTTCCAAACAAAAAATCAGCAGTGCCCTGCCACTGATCTTCATTCCTTCTGCAATATTCTCTATCGGCAATTCGCTCAACTCCGTAGTTTCTCCTGTTGTCCCTAGACAAGCAAGGCCAATACCCGAATACGCCATCGCATATATCCCAAGCATCCAACCCGCAGCCTGGCGGAGCCGGGGGCACCATCCTCTGGAACCCGCCTCCATAAACACCCCAAGGAGAGTAGCCCGAATTCTCATTGTAACTTTGCTCGCTCTCTTCATGATCCTCATGGCGGTGGTCGATATCTTTGCCCGAGTCTTCTTCTGTTTGATGGGAAGAGTTTTGCACTTCCTGATCAATCTTGGCCGGTACGATTTCGCTTCCTGCTCCAGGTTTTCTTGCTTGCTCATCTTCCACCGTAGCAATAGGCAATTCAGGAATTCCGTCTTGAACACCGCCTAGCGCCGGCGCATCTTGAGCCCTTGTGGAATGAGGATGACAGATTTCTGCAGACGGAGGGAGGGGTTTCCCATAAGTGACAGAAGGGTCATACCCACCGCCATAAGGTGTTGGATCATACTCTTCGAAATCAGGCTCATTGAACTCTGTCTTCGAGTAACTAATTGCGAAACTGGTCGACTTCGGATCGTAAGAACCGCTATAGTAGGCATTTGGGTGGATCGTGATCAGGTCAGAGTGGCTGAAAGTGGAGGCAGAGTATGAAAGTGTGGGCTGCGGAGGAACATAGCCATAAGGTGTGTAGTATCGAGCCGGGACCTGATCGAAGAACTCGGTCTCACCATCGGACTTGTAGTCATTGTAAGAAGCGAAATTGCTGGAGGAATCATAAGAAGTCGGATAATATCCGCCATCACCATGGTCCGAGTAAAAAGCGAAATTGCTGGAGGAATCATAAGAATTTGGATGATACCCACCATCACCATGGTCTGAGTCATAGTAATTGTTGTAGTAGAAATTCATCGTGAATTGCTCAGCTTCTACAGCTCGATTAGGGACATTGGCCTCTGGTGTTGAGAGTAAGTTCTTGAAGAAAAGATGATGAAACTTTCCTTTGAGAGAAGAAAGCAACTGGTTGCTTTTGCCAACGTCACACTTATAAGAAATTGGGTGGGATTCTGTCTTTTTGCACCCACCAACCACCCAATGCTTATCTATCGTCACTAGATAGCATCCACTGAATTTGTTTGAGTGCACGTTCGGGAATGTTAAGTGAAAACGGTCTCGCTCGTAACTAATTAGTTTGAACTTTTGAGTGTAAGTAGGTCAAATTGATGGGTTTGGATTTGAGCTTCCTTTTAAAAAATCTCCTTAGGCAGATGATTTGAACTTCGACTGCATTGACCGAATAAGTGGTATGATGGCCGATGATTTAAATGGGTGCGGCCCAACATGTGTGGATCTACATCTTGTGAGTATCTCAAAGAAGGAATCTCAAATGTGACTCCCAATTAAGGTGGCGGATGGTGTCATCCGGCTTCCTGCCAAACGTAGCCGCGCCAAGGCAATTGAGGTAGAGATTGAAGGACAAATGTTGGAGATTCAAGTTGAGAAAACGTCATAGCGCAATGATATATGAATTGAGGAAAAACGCGCGTGACACAGGAAGCTCATGCATAAGGAAGAGTTTTGTTGAGATGCACTTGTTGACCTATCTTGACTTAAATTTGTAACTTAACGTGAATTCAATAAGATACGTTGATGGTTCAGTTTAAAGCTTTCTCCTAACGATCTCTCTAACAAAAGAGACGGCTGCATTGATCCAATAGAATTGCATAACTTGATCCTAGTGTAAACAAGATCAAAATGGAGTGATCTTGTAAAATTCATTTTCAGAGAGAAAGAGAGAGAGACACCCTCACAAGACATACAGTGAGACAATCTCTTACCAATTTCCACAGATTTTTGCAAGTGGAGGGTTGTGCCCATGTGATTTGTCCCTTGATGTTACGACAAGACAAAAGGAGTTTCCAACGTCATCACGATTGGTGAAGTTTTACTTTCGAGGACAACACTCGACAATGAAAGGGATTGAGATAAGAGCGACCTTGGAAAGGGTGCCAACAAACTACCTAAGGAAAAAGACATTTGATATAAGAGCGACCTTGGAAAGGGTGCCAACAAACTTCCTAGGGAAAAAGACATATGATCATTAATTATTTCAACATTATTGCTTTGCGTACGAGGCCTGCCAAGTTCGCCCAAAGATAAAGAAAGACCACCGACTGGGACTCTAAAATCCTGTATAGATAGGCCTTCATGCGACCGAGTCAGTATGACCTTGGGTTATATAGTTCCCCTCGCATTTTCCTAGTGATCTGCTTATCCGAAACTTCATGCTACACATGAAGTTTCATGCTTATTAATACAGGAACTGGCCGATAATACACCAAACTCATTCAAAGGAAATACAACTCCAATCGAGTAATTATGCGTATTCGATTTCGGAAACTTTGACCAAAAAGTAAAATGTGAATACCAATTTCACTTCTTTAAGAAGCAAGTCATTTTAGAAATGATTAATACTACGAAAAATCTCAAACTGGTATACCTGTGACAATTTTACTCAAAACTAATTTTTTTATCATGCAAAACCCCAAACTGGTACACATGTAACAAATTTATCCAAAACTAATTTTTTGACCATAAAAAACCCCAAACTTGTACATTTGTGACAAATTTACCCTCCGTTAGTTTTCATTAAATTGAATTAATACCACAAAAAATCATAAACCGGTACGCCTATGACAAACGGAAGGTAAAACATAAAATCAGTACATCCGTCAATTGTCGCGTGTTATTTAACAAAGCAATTTGACAATAAAATTTAACGAAAATAAACTAAAGGTAAATTTGTCATAAGTATACTAGTTTTGGGTTTTTAGTGGTCAAAAAATTAGTTTAGAGTAAAATTGTCATATACGTACCAGGTTTGGGTTTTTCGCGGTGTTAACCCTTTAAAAAACTTGAGCGGCATCTTGCCAACAAAATTTGCTCAAACCACCACCAATCACAATAGATCCAAGGATCGCCCTCAACTGCTATGTAAGTTGTTTTCAAGATTGCATTTAGGGTTTCTCAATCCCGCCCCAAGATTTTACCGGATTTCTCACTTCATCCCCTGTGTTTAAAATTTCGGGTCCGCTTACCGATGTCAATTGCCACCACTGGCAACTGTTGTTTCCCGCCATCACCCCTTGAACCCCCATCACCTCCACCATCAGTCGGCCTTGGGCCATATACAACTTCCATCTACTGTCAGTCTTGATTGCCATCACTTCCACTCCATCTATTAAGGGCTATACTTTCTCCACTCCTAATTTTGCTAAAACGCTCCTCAGCAAAGTGTCATGACCATTACATCCATTGTGGGTCCAATCTTTCAACATCTTAAGCTTTCCCTTGGCGTCTTTTTTTGGTTTTCTTTTATTGCGGGTCCCACTTTCTTCTCTCTTCATCCCACCTGTCAGCATCTCTTTCTCTCTTGCAGAAAAATTGCCACCATAATCACCCCGTAAAAGCAAAGAACTCAGTGGAATGATGTTTTCTCAGTCTAATTGGTGTCTGTGTTGGAAGCTCTTCTTCATTCAAAACCAAGCAAATATAATACAAATGGGGTATCCTCCTAGACTTTGCACCATCACCAATAGACTTTATTAACTAATATACGAAAATGCATTTGGCATGCCCACCACTTTATCAAGAACCGGAAAGAAAATGGTAAAATGTTTCAATAATCCTACTGAAATGAGAAGAAAATTGAAAATTTTTGGATAAAAACCTTTCATGCTTTACTGAATCCGGACCATAACTAGACCAATATCACAACAGGATATCAAAATGTATATCTTGAAATCATTTTGCCAAACAGATTGCAAAAAAGAAAGAGGTCCACGTCATGAGAACAGTTTGGGGAAATTTTCAATGAAAAGAATACTCAAAATCCATTCAAAAAATCAAATGCAGGCTCTATTCCAACATGGTTAAAGAAATTAGTTAGTTCAATCGTTAGAAGTTAATGGATAAATGCAAAAAAAAAAAAAAAAGAAGGCAAATTTCGAAAACTTTAATCAACAAAATAGCATAAGGAGAAACTCAATAATGCCAAAAAGGCATAAACTTTAATCAGATTCAATAGTAAATAAGCAATAAATCAATACCCATTTTTCCCAAACATAAAAAAAAAAAAAGATGAAAGAAGAAAAAGTACCTTCAAACAACCCATCATAAGGAAAATTACCACATTACTCAACATTAACCAACACTCTGAGTTTAATCAATTTATCCAGCACTCACCATGAAAAACGATGCAAAAACCATCTCAAACATTGAAGAAAAGAAAGTAAAAGGAGAGAGAAAGAGAGAATGATGAAGATTAAGGAAAGTGGGACCCGCAAAAAAGGACACTAAGAGAATGTAAAGGATGCTGAAAGGTGGGACCCACAATGGATAAAATGGTCACAGCATTTTGTTGGGAGTATTTTAGCCAAACTAAGAGTGAAAAAAGCACAGCCCTATATTAATCCCCACAGAAGCCATAACTACAACCAATAATCCACGCCCTCCACCTTTCTCCACCAGTTACCACCTCCAACACTGCCGCCCCATACACCAACTGGGTTTTGTTACGGCACAGCTTCAAACCAATCTACTTCGTCGCCGTCAAAGCATACAATAGAGGAGCCGAATGCCAATGTCGAGGGTATCTGAAACTAAAGATATACCCGTGCAAGCATGACAAATGCAACTGAGATACAAGCAATTTGAAAAACTATACTGATTTCAACACTATAAGGAGACATGCGAGAAGTACTTAGGAAATAACAAGAAACTTTATCTCTGTCCAAACTCAGCAGGAGGAACACAAGAACAAAACGCCATGTTCCTTAGATGGGACCATTGTACTGTCTTCTAAGTTCACAAAGCATGCATCTGTCAATACTTGCTACACAAAAAGGATCTTCCAGTATGAGCCTACACAGACCGAGCATCATCTTTTATCAGCTCAGGACATTGAAGATGTGCAACAAATTATAACAAGGCCGTCCACCGGAAATCAAAAACTTCATGCACCTACGGGAAAACATGAATCAAAAAGAAGATGAATTAAAAGGATTTGCAAAATAATCCTATATGCAGTAAACTTCACGATTGACTGCTTGAAAGAACAGGGAAAATATTGGCCTTCGCCAAGTCATTTAATGAATATAGAGATAACATGACTGATAAGCTCCATTACCTCATGCAGATGATGACTCATTGCTGGTTGCCTCCTGCTTAGGTCTTGGCCTTTGACGCGGTGGACCATCTCTCTTCCTTTCATACCTCCTACTCTCATTTCTATACTTATTTCGAGGCTTTGGCTGGTAAGTAGGATATTGGCAAGGAATGATCTCTCCATTGATGTATTTATCCCCTGAGATCGGTACAGCAATTACAGAGGACAACGTTAAGCTAGAAATTGTTCTCGAAAGGAAAAAGGCACAGAAACTCATATTGAAGAATGTCTCTAGATTAAAAAATTGTGTAAAGTAGTGGACCTCCATAATCCTTGTTCTTCACATCTATGTATGAATCAGGGAGTACCCACAGAACCCCAGGCAGACCTACACAGGACGGAAATCACAAATCGGCAATTAATTCAAAGGAAAATCCGAACAAAAGCTATATTTCTAATTCACACAGTTCAAATATAGTTCCCCACCTTTGAATTTCTCAGACGTGGCTTCATCCACGGTACACTGAAACCCGGTATAGGTTGTGGTACTAAATGCATACATATTCTTCTTGGCCTCCTCCATGCTGAGACAAATGACACAATGTACTTATCAAGAGTCAAAACGCAATCTACCAAACTTCAATCAACAAACTTGAAATTAAACTTGAAACTATATGAAATAGAAAGTGAACCCACATCCCATAATCACACTCAAGAGAAATTAAAGAATGATAAGCAGCAAATTAATCACAACCTCTTGTTTGGTGTTATATTGTAGTAGCGGCCACTTATAACGAAAGACGAGGAGCGAAACCAAACCATTCTCTAGATAGACATTTCTATACTTGAAAAAGATAGTAATCCCATGAATCTCATTTCTTATGTTTCCCTCATCAATTACTTATCCGATCAAACATCCATAACACGGCCTTTTCGGTCATCCGGACTGAAACTTTCTATAAGCAAAAGCGTTCCTCGCAAATTGGCAACTCCCCGGATTTCCACAATAATTCACCTACGTTTCCTTCTATGCAGCGATTCTTCCAAATTCATATGTGCGAATATCGTCTAGACTCAACTTGAAGTACTAATCAAATAAGCATCATCATTCAGCAAATTCCACTCAACAACATTCCAAAATCCACGAAACGCGCACAACATTCCCATCATCAATTGCAGAGAGCACGAAAACCGCAGGAACAAACCCAAATCCCACCACTACAAGCACATCCATGCATAGCTAGAGATAGAGAGAGAGAGAGAGAGAGAGAGAGAGAGAGAGAGAGGGTGTCACCTTCCGAGCACAGTGGCGAGAGTATTGAGGTAAGTGTCGATCATCTGCTCCCGGGTAGGGGCGGGATCCTTGGGGAACTCCATGACGATGAGCCAGTGGTTGTAATCGCAACCGGGGAGCATGATGGTCTCCCTCGGCTCGCTGCTGCTGCTCCTCCTCGACGAGTACTCCCCATCCACGGCCGCCGCCACGAGAACAAGCGGCCCCCGGCCGCCGCCGCCGCGCCGCTCGCCGCTCCGCAGCTCCCGGCGGCGCCCCCAGAGCCCCAGCCCGCCGGAGCCGGCGAGGCGGAGGGCCGGCGACGGGGCTAGCGCCGCCGCCGCGGCGAGGGGAGGGCGCCGAGCCGGGGGAGGGGCTAGGGTTTTGGGTGGGAGGGAGAGGCCGGTGAACGTCGCCATTGCCGCCGTCGAGAGGGGAAGAAGGGGTGAAAAAATGTAGATAAGGCTTTCTTTTTGTGTTTAGGGGAGTGCCGTTTGAACCGGTGTTGAGATATTTTGGTTGAGCTACTTCTCTCTCTTCCCATTTTGTATGGGCTTGGGCTTTGATGGAGATGAAGCTCGAAAAGGCCGAGGGCGGGTCGGGTTCCGGGTCGGGTCGGGTAGAGGTCTCGGGTCCGACCGAGGGGGGAGTGCTCGTGGACCCGGGTCGAGGGAAGAAGTTCACCCCCGAGGTAGGGGGGGCCGTCGAGGTCGACCGAGGGTCCGGATGTCGTGGGGGTCTCGGGTCGTGCACCATGCCCGAGCCCGTTTCTTGAAGAAGTACCTTTCGCGAAATAAGCAAACCTCTATTGGGTGACTTCAATCCGTGAACTTTGTAACAAGGCGAAAATAATGTGTCCGCAAAAGTTCAGCTTTATTATTCGAGCACTGCTAGGTATGCTTAGACCTGTATACGAAATGGCATGCTAAATGACATGACAAAATTCGAACGGGCAATTAAGCAATCGGGCCACCTTCGATGTCTTATAACAGTTTGTCACGTCAATTAAAATACCAAATTTTGTAACCAACATATGGTAAACATGGTATTTCTCTTTTCGTGTTATGCCAAACATCGAAAAAGTGAGGAAAATATTTTTCGATAATTTCATTTGCGCTATAAATGTATGCATTTTCGGGGTTAAGTAGCGGGCCTTGAAGTAGCAAGGATGACAAGCCAGCCGGAAGCCCAATTTTTCAAAGGACAAGGGCAAGTTTCGGGGGCCTTCCAAATTTCATGGCCGGGCCATGTAGTTGTAGTATGAGCATGAGTCGATCTCCTTTATTTTGGACCAACTTTATTTTACATATTTATGAGCTTTCTAATGGCTATCCCAATTAATTTGTTCTGTGCATGCAACCATTAAATTGGCTAAATCGACTATCGAATTGTCCATAAACCAAATTAGGAGTTATCGGCTCTAAGGTGGGGTAGGTTCCAAAAGGAGTCGGTTCCTGATTTTAAGAACCGAGAACCAAATCGGTTGACCGAAAAACGGATTTGAAACTAAACCGGTCGGTTCCCGGGTCTACTTGGGAATTTGCCTTTTTTTTTTTCTGTTTCATTTTTTAATTAATTGCTCTGTCGTGTGTATAATTTTCGCAAAAGTTCTCACTTATGACAACATGATGGCCTGTTTTATGTTGGAATGCTTAACCTCATTATTTTTACCGAAATTTGTCGATTAAGAAACTTGTAGAGTTTGGATTTGAAATGCCAAGAATTGGGAACTGAACCTGTCAAAGCTGGTTACTCAGTTTTTTACCTTTGAACTAAATTGGTTCCCATGTGAACCGGCTTGGAATCCCCTAGGTAAGGCGGGTTCGGTCTGCTTCTCGTGTTGAACCGGCGCGATTACAGGCATGATAACTCACATATTATGTAGACATACACCCGCGTATATATAATAAATATATGGTCGTGATGACATCTCAAAGTGCCATTTATGACGTGCTGTTAACATCCCAAAAACATCTATATACACATAAATAACCGTCCAAACGATTCTGTTGGATTAGTCTTAACTGCTTCAGACAAGAAATCAGTACCATTTCTATATATTATTACAGATTCTTGTGAATTTTCCTCTTACGTAGTTGCTGAGCAAATATGAGCCTAAGCTGTTCTCTGCGTAAGTCAACTGCAGTCCCCACCTAACGCCCCCCTTCGTTTATCCTCTCCACGATCTCCTCTTCATCGATATCTGAAAACCCTAGATCCTTCCTCCCTTGGAGAATTTTCATGTGCGTGAGCGAATGATGTTTGAGAAAAGGACTTTTATATGTATTCGGCTGAAACTCTTCTGCATGCATGGTTGAGTACGTACAAGGATTAGGTGAACATTGCATCACATGATGGGTACGAAATGAAAGTTTATGCAGGTCGAGAAAATATATGCATAACTAAACTACAGATACGTCAACGATGTGTTCCGAGCCACGAAAAGAAACTGTGCAAGATTAAGGGAGAAAACTAGATTGGAAGACTGCTTTTTTGTCGATTATTTCATGAATAGCTTCATTAATAATCCGACTTTAGTCATGTTGAAGTCTGTTCAAGACGGTAACAGAACTAAAGGTCTCGTATATATGTGATTTACACATCGTCTAATCACTTACATAGAGGTTTTCACGCTTATAATCTCAGGGATAAATCTTTTTGCACTCAAGTAATCCAACTGCTATAAAGTATTCCCACTTGGTAAATGTGTTCTAACCAAAACATTTGGTACCACTAACCCTGATTTGAACTGTTTCATCAATGTTTTGGAATCATAAGAGCAGTTTTGACCCTTGTTTTTTTCTGTGGGTCTCTTGGAGTATTGCTCTTGGAGGGAAGCAATTGACTCTAATAACAGGATTAGCAGTTATGTCAGGTAATGTTGACTTGAAGGGACAGTGATATCTGCTCTTTATCACTTCATGAGATATTTCTGAGTCACATGAGTACAAAAAGTTGTTGCACATATCCCTGCTCTATGTTTGTTTCTGTATGTCTCTATTGTCGAATAGAGCAAGTTCACTTAATCATCCCAACTTCACCAAATTCCCAAAACCCAAGCATTTGGAGAGTCATCAACTGTGACTCATTAGCAATTTTGCAACTTGTCCAGTGACCTCATTCCGTGATTGTGAAATGATCATTAACTTCCATCAATGTGGAGTTAAAGACTCAGTTAACAAAATGGACAATGTAATTAGAGGGAAGAACCATAGAAACAATGTCAACTACTCATACATCCTCCCTATGGTAACCCCAGATAGTTATCAAAGGGGGTCACTTCTTTCCACCCTTATGCATATAAAAAATATTATAGCAAATCGAGGGGGCAGGGAACCAATCAGAAGGTGTGGGTATACAATTATAGAAGTTAAAATGACTAGTGTTGATAGTTATGGATATAGCATAATGCACTATTGTGTAGTGCTGTTGGTCCCTCTATGTTTGCCCGAAAATCAAAATCGCCCCTTGACCTTTTTTTTTATTCAAAACTGTCACTATACTCTTTAAAATTTGCCACTGTGGTGTTTTGGTAATAATTTTTCTATAGTCGGTCGATTTTAGCTGACGTGGAGAACTGGATTGCTAAGTCAGACATGAGATTAAATTTGTCCTATTTGGATTCATAAAATTATTTTTTTGGGCATCGTCACATTAGCCAACATAAGTTCATACACACACACACACACACATATATATATATATATATATATATATATATATATATATATATATATATTTGGAGCTTGCGGCCATAGTTGAGCAACTATGGCCGCTAGACCTTTTTTGAGCTTGTGGCCATGGTGGCCTCTCGAGCTCGGGCATGGCTGCTGGAGCTTCTCTAAACTCGTGACCATGGCTGATGGAGCTTTGTCAAGCTGAGGGTGGCTAGTCGAGCTTCTCCGAGCTTGGCCATGGCCACTTGAGCTTCCTACAGCTCGATCATGGCGGCTTGAGCTTCGTTGAGCTCATGGTCATGGCGACCAGAGCTTCTTTGAGCTCGGACCATGTCTGCTCGAGCTTTGTTGAGCCATGGTACATAGAGCTTTGCCTATTTCGGGGCCAAGGCCACTCAAGTTTCTTCGAGCTCGCGACCATAGCTGCTGGAATTTTTGCATATATTAAGATATTAGATTTTGTGGGCTTTAGTTTGGATTTGGTGGGGTTTGACTTGAAGAGAAAGAAGATGCTAGTTGCACAGAGAGAAAGAGAAAGTCAATATTAAAATAAAATAAAAATCTAAGTCAACATATTTCTAACGCGTTAATTCGTGCCAACAAGTTTCCAACAACGTAAAAACCATGTCGACAGACTCTATCCCAAGATCGATCCAAGAAAGAATGGTGACACTTTTTAGAAAGTATAAGATGGTTTTGCACCGAAGAAAGTAGAGGGGCGGCTTTGAAGTTTGGACAAAAGTACAGGAACCAACGATAATATTTCACCGTTTTATATGTGATGTTCAGCTCATACGTTGCGGGCGGTGGGCTATCATCACCATTTTTGTACCCATCTATTTCTTTCACCCATTTAATGATCACATTTGGATCGTATGCGCACGAGGACTTAAGGGGGGTGGGGGGACGAGTGGCAGCAATTGTTACGCTGAGAGGCCAGCTGTGGCTTTGCCAAAGCCGAGCGACGGCACCACCCGGGGGTTGTGTTGAGATCGAGAAAGAGTAGGCTTTTTTAGCATGTAACGTAAATGTATCAGTTCTTTAGGTGATGAGAAAATGGCCCTTACCCTTTCATGAATCAATAGTCACTCTTTGAAAACAAAAAATTACAGTGCTCGAATATGCAAATGTTTTTTTTTGGGTTCAATCCACTTGTTTCCATTAAAATCAACCAATCCATGAACATAACATGCCTATTTGTGGCATCTTATTAGAATAGAATGATCAAAGCCCCACCATTTCAAAAAGCCTAAACAATGGGAAGAGCCGAAATCAAGTAACACTTCCAAATTGGAGACAGATGGGTCTCTCCCTGATTAGTCATCGAAGAAGCAGCAACATAATTAAGGTTGTGCAAAGAAGGCATATGATGACCCACGCTCACACTCAAATGTCCCAAAACACACTTTCAAACCTAGAAAGAAAGAATGAAATTCTCTTGGTGGGGACATCATGAGATGTGGGACCCAGTTAGGGAGGAATTAAAGAAATTGCAAGAGGAGGATGATCAATGCCAGTACTCAATCATATCCCTTTGTCAACCCTACCAAGGAGGAAGAGACTTGCTTTGGGGGCGACACAATCCACAAGTTCCATGTAGTTAATGATTACAATTACTTGTCATTCTTTGGAAGATAGACCCTCTCTCTTGGGTGGAAAATGTTTGGAAACTTTCAAGTTTAAGAAGTCAAATTGCACATATGTGGGAGAGAGAGAGAGAGAGAGAGAGAGAGAGAGAGAGAGAGAGAGAGAGAGGGAGGGTAGGTGAGCTTGACAAGGATTTCAACAGGTGACCAATGATGAAGAGTTAGACACCAATAATA